ACGTTACGGAAACTGAACTTTTGCTTATGGAACAGAGTTGACCCCTTCTATCTCTCATCAGACAATTTATTTTTTCCCTTCTGGTAAAGATTGGTTGCTATTTGACTCAAATCAATTGAAATGGAATAAAATCATTAAAGATAATTGAAAAAGGGGAACCTCGCCAGGGAGTTTCAATCTTGAATTCAAAGAGATATAAAAGATGTGCCTTACAGGAAGAAACTTGGAGAAGGGTTGAGTTTCTGTAAACACTGCTGAAAGTGTTATTCTATAGGAGAGGGGTTGGCAGGGCAATGCAATCACCTTTGCCTGCCTCTACATCATGTAACATTGAGATATATTTAACAGCCATCCTCTCAGAGGCATATCAACGTATCTCTGGTTGGCAGGGAGGGGGGGGGGGATGCAAACATCCAAAAAATTATGTCACAAGCAAAAAGAAAAGCAAACAAATATAATAGTAAAAGGTCAACTTCCTCCCCTTTTTCTTCCTGATATTATTTCTGATTCTCCCCCCCCCCCCCATTTTCTCACTCTCTTATTGGCATGGGGGATGGGGATTGTGCCCCCGAGCCCCCTGAATATGCCATTACCTCTATAATACAATGCTCTGGGATGAAATTCACTTTACTTCTCTAATCACATTTTATGCTTTAGGGGAATCCCGTCTAATGCAATGTCACATATCCAAATTGTTATGGACTCCAAACCACAAATCCTCTGGTTGATTACCAGTAAAAACCACTCAGAACCAGAAGGAACCAGTAAGAACCAAAATGAATGAGTAAGAACATACATGTCTTCTCTGCAGTCCAGCATCATGATCACTGTAACCAACATCAATTTTTATTTTCCTATTGTGTACCAGATTTTACATATTGCAGCAAATTTAAGAAAGAAAAACCAAAATGTCATGGGCTTATATCTTTGATAAAAATTAAGTCTTAATCTGAATATGTAATTGCAGCTAAGCATGACAGGTTAAGCCGAGATTTAAAAAAAAGTAGTATTTGAGTTTTAGTGGTCTTCATGATATTTTTGTCATTTCACATTCCTGTACATGATTGTAAATAGCCTGTTGGCTTTTATGTTGAGTACCCAATAAAAAATAAATAAAAAAAAATAAATAAAAAAAAAAATTAAAAATTCTTTACTATCTACTTTAGATATGAACACAGCAGCTTGTATCACATAGTGCATGCTCTGGGGGTGTTTCACAAAGCCTTTTTCAATGACAAATGACAACAATCAGTGACAAATCTGCTGATAACCAATCAGAAGCAAGGATTTCACAAGCTTATTTAACAAAAACTGTAGTTTGTCACTGATGACAAGTTTTGTGAAACACTCCCCTGGACTTTGTTTCTTCAAAGATATAGGGATAAGAATAGGGCCATAATGGGGTTTTGAGGGTCGTTCAGATATGAGGCCGAAAATCGCCGCAAAAAATCCTCCACTGTCCTACACACATTCACTGAGCTAGGTGTTATCATGGTTATGAAATACATGCACAGGATTGTGACGCAAATTATACTTAACGTCTTTATATAAAATAACCCACTACAGTTTGCTGTGTCATATATCTTAAAAAGCCTTTAAAAACAGTTTAGCTTAGTTCAGGGTCAAGGTTAGACGGTTAGAAGGTTAGAGTAAGGTCCAGGGTAGAATGCGGTCTTTACAGACAAGTGGTCTTTCTAAAAAGGCAGACGCTAAAAGAGGTTGAATGCATAACATAAAAACTTTTTAGCAACTTAAAGCAAAATGAAATCAAAAATAAAATGTACCTTGCTAAAAATGACAGGAATAGACATCATCACAAACAAATAAACCCACAAACGGGACTACGTGTTATACATACCTCGTGTGACTTTGATGTGTGTGCTACGAAGCCTCCTCCATGTATGTGAATAAGAAGACCTTTGGACATGGGGCTGGGAGGTTTCTCTATCTTCTGTTTGGCTTTCTTGGAGCTCTTGCCCATCTGCTGGAATGCTATCTCTTCAGCTTCATTCAACCATCCCTGAGAGGGAGGAAGAGAGGGAGAGGGAGAGAGAAGGGGGAGAGAGGGGGAGAGAGAGAGAGAAGGAGAGGGTAGAGAGAGAGAGAGAGAGAGGGGGGGGGGAGAGAGAGAGGGGAGAGAGAGTAGGGGGAGAGAGAGAGAGAGTGAGAGAGAGAGAATTTTTTTATTTTTTTTTATAGAGATAGAGAGAATGAGAATGTAAGAGAGAGAAAGAGACAATAATAATTTACAGCACTAACATATAGAAATAGAATGGGTTTACCACTTTTTCTGCCAAGAGCCGGATCGGCGATATCTCATTTTATAGATAACTACCATCCTTTAGGCTCTTAGCTTATTTATTCCTGTTCACTAAATACATCTGAAAAAATTTGAATGCATTCATAAAAAACAACATTACCGGTAAGCATCTACCATACAGTGTACATTTGATATTCCCTTTTTCAATGCTAAATGTTTGCAGATCAATTTACTAAAAATAAATAATCATGAGCATAGACAATTACAGTGATGGTTAAATACAGTCTTAACAAATTGTTTATAAGTCATATTGTCTTTAGTTTGCTACCAGGACCTCCGTGGACTTTTGTCCTTAGATGAACCTGTATGGGCAAGTGCACATATATATTGTAGCTAGGCAATATAGTTTGTATTATCCCAGTCAATATTTACATACTATTGCCCCTTGAAGCCAGTCAGAATGTTATTATTGCTTGGGAGTCACCTGTGCCTAGAGGGGGAGAGTCTATTTTAATCATGATGACCATCAACCCTCTTCTCTCCACTACGCATCTCATTGGGGTTCAACATGTAGGTACAGACAATGCACAGTTTCCTTTCAAGATGTACGAATTAGAAAACCTCTACAAACTTTTGCAACTCAAGTTGTACATTCCTTCGTCTTATCTTCTCTTTCTCCTTATCTTCCTGTAACTGTCTTTACCTTATCTTATCTTATCTTATCTTATCTTATCTTATCTTATCTTATCTTATCTTATCTTATCTTATCTTATCTTATCTTATCTTATCTTATCTTATCTTATCTTATCTTATCTTATCTTATCTTTATCTTTATCTTTCCTCTGTCCTCTGTTGTTGAGAATATACATTGTTTGTTTATATACAAAGTTTGTATCTTGTTTATGATATGTATTTATTTGGGAATCATTCTAATCAAGCCAATTGTGGCCTTTATGAATCCCCACTTGCTTTTATCTTATGTTCATCATAACAAACAAACATGTATATACTTTTGAGGTTTTTTAAAAAGAGTGACATAAATGAAATTAAATATTCAAACATTTGACAAGTGGTTCAGAATCGTCTGCTTAGGGCCAGAAGAGAGTGAGTTCTGTGTGAAATGAACTGAGTTAAATCCCTTCTGATTCCAAACACCATTTAAAAACACTTTTAGATCAATGCCCAATTACACTACTTCATTGAATTAATAATAAAATAGTATCTCTGATCAACCGGAATACTGTAGGCAAAACCAACTCAGTAATGTTGTAGACAAAAATCTAAAAGGATGGACAAAAATAAATATACTTCAACCAGGTCAGTATTATTTAAGAATCTCCAATGAGGTTTACATGTATCTCCTACAGGAGTCTAGCCCCCAGACATTAGAAATAGGAAATGAAATTTCATTCTAACACAATCACATTTCAGAAAAAGCCGTATTAAACCCGATAACAGGTTTATTTTTAACTCCGCACAGCTAGGCTAAATAAAGATGTGCATAGATCTACCCATACAGCTGAACAATAACACCCTTATTTTCATCGTCTTCATCATCGACCTAGAAATGTGAGGCTCTCGATCAATCCCCTTGCTGCGTTTAGATGACTAGGATTCATCCTATGATCAATTGGACAAACAAATGTTCGCCCGTTCGGCACGTACATGGAGACTGTTATTGTTAAAAGGTTGCCATGGTTACAAGTTACCAATAAATTGCCGAGAGAGAGAGAGCCATCCAGGCAGAAACATGTTAAGACTCATTTCCTTAATTGAAATGAAGCGTGTGACATCTTACCCATGAATATATGGGGTTTAGATGGTTTTATTTCTGATTGTAGGCTATTTTGAGAAACATGTTCATTTTATGAGTTCATTTGCTTCAATAGACATGAAACAAACAGGCAACCGAGTCTCCAAGTCTAAGCCCGTACATACAGTCATGTAAATTCTGCAAACATTGACAAGATTAAGCATCTGAAGCTGAGAGAATGGAGAGCATTGACTCCATGAATAGTGCACTTAATAAATAGTCAATGAACATCTGGCTTCTGGTGACACAATCATCTTGGATTTTAATGTGTAAATCCTGTCGTTCGATCTATTTCAATCTATGAATATTGAGATTCTTTCAGACTTTATTTGTGCAACTACATGTATAGACAATAACCTGGCACATTGCCACTCCTGGCACTCTATTATTATGACCCTGGCTTTAACATGGCTGCCATTACAGCGCTCTTGCACTTTAAAGAATTAATACCGTTTACAACATGTACATCACCTGGGTGGAGTGTGGAAAATGTAGATGAATGTCTTGCCGAAGGACATTAGTGGTGTGACATGGATTTGAACCGTGTACCTTGTGGTTCACTATCAGGGGACTTATCCCTGGACCACAACGCACATTTAGACCGATACAATTCTGCTCCAATAGTCATCCCTTGCATTCATTGAACATTTCTATGTAATCTATTGGATGCCAAGTAAATGTTTTTGTTTTTCTGTAAGGTTTATTTTATTCATTCTAGCTGTACATAAATGATTTCATTAGGTGATTGGTGCACATTAAACATTAAAAGCAGACTAGCCAGCAGCCATAAAGTCTGCTGCCCTACATTCATTCTATGATGAAGAGAGCTCAAGTTACCCATCCAGAGTAAATAATGAAGTTAATCAATTACAATCATATTTTGAAATTCTCTCTCTCTGCCTGTGAGCAATGTCTATAGAAGCAGTGACGAATCAGTCTTAATTGAGCTATCATTAATTTCAAACAAAGGGAGTGAGTGATCACACAATCAGCTACACTGATCAAAAGATTATCACCAATGTAATATAGTATTGGTAAAAGCAAAACTAAATATGAAACCAAAATATATATGAATGCTGGGTGATTAAAATGTTTTTTGTTTACTATTTCAATTGTATTAATCATTATGCTCATTAAAGAGAATGGAAGGGGGTCATAATGAGAGATTCAGGCAAAGAATGGAAGTAGAAGTAGAGAGTAGCAGAAAAGGAATACAGGAAAGAGATGAAAAAAGAATAGAGGAGAAAAGGACGAAGAGAAAGGGCAAAGTAACCTGCACACTTAGGGCGCGTTCATGCTTGATTTTGAAGGCAGAATGAGCGATTTGTAACGCTCATCGTAAACGCTCATCGTAATCGCAGTTCCACGGTGCACTGTTCATGCTCACTTCTCCAGGCAATTCTCCTTGGGTGGCCTTCAGCTGGATTCGCAAACCTGTGTGCGCATGCTACGTAGATCCACTAGAGGTCAGTGCGTTGACCCCATTTAAACGCGTTTACAAATTGTAAACGCATCTTTTTGTGAGTTTACGATCGGCGATCGTGATCGCCGTTTTTCGGTGATTCTACAAAAGTGAGCATGAACGCAATCGTGTTTTAAACTAAACGCGTAACAGATGCCTGATTCTGGCCGTCAAAATCAAGCATGAACGCGCCCTTAGTTGAATCTTTTCACCTACCATTAAATAGAACATCTTTTGCACAAAAGACTTTTTTTTTTACAGGTCCAAAAATGATATTATACAGTGTAATTCAATACAAATTTTCAAAAGGACCCTTTTTTCTGAATAGTTACTAGGCTATTGCATTCCCCAATCAAATATAATTTGTAGTGTGACTTTATGCAACTTTGATTGTTTCTTTTTATAAACATGTATGTATTTAAAAATGATTTTTTGTTTTGTTGTATTACTGAATCAGTTATTGTTATTGTTGTTTTGTTTTTCTCATAAAATAATAATTCATAATAATTACTTTTACAGGGGGGCTTACACCCTACAAGCTCTGCTTTTTAGTCGGCCCTCCTTCCCTTTCAATTTCATGTTTATATTTTTAATGTATTGTATTGTGCAAATTGATCTATATGTATATAAATATCATTGTAAATATGAACGATTGAAAGAGGAAAATAAATGAATTGAATTGAATTGAATTGAATTGAATAATGAAATGAAAGAAGATTTGCCTCAGTTGTTATCATCTGTCTGTTGAATCATAGATCATGGGCTTGATCCCAGTCCATGGGTTCAACTAAAGCCTTCAATTTTTGTTCTACAAAAGCAGTGAAAAAACTTTATAGTGTAAAACACTCTATTCTTTGAATAGGACATTAGATAGTGGTCCTGTATGGAGGAAAGTCACCAACTAAAATGTATATTTAGAACCAACTGCTCTCTTTGTGAAAGAGTATGGGAGAAATTCAGGTGCCGTGGAGTGGAGTGCATCCTACTCAGTTTATAACATACAATATCAACTGGGACCCATCTCATAAAGAGTAGATATCAATCACATCTTATTTGTGATTGATATCAATAGTAACTTGCAATTAATTTGGATCATTCGCAATTATGGATATTGGTAAAAAGGCTGTCTTAGTATTATAAAGAGTTGCGATTGATTCAAGTCTTCCGCAACTTAAAATTAATCGCAACTGCGTACTTTAATACAAGATAGGAGTTGTGAATAATTTCAAGTTGCGACTCATTCAAATCAATTGCAACTCGTTATAAGACGAGGCCCTGGTGTCTGTGTTGTGTTGGTGTAGGCTCGCCTACCTTTTAAAAAAAATTCCCCTTAGAAAGTGATAACCAACGGCTAAAAGTGATAATGCTCGGCTGAGATGCATGTCTCTGACGCATACATAATTAACAATGAAATGCACTTAGTTTCAAACGGCAAGGACATTGATGCGCACACTGAAACATGTACCACACTGATTGGCTATGCTTATGTTCTGGGGTGCCATTTAAGGCAAACGACTTTGCGGCTCTTCGCATTCTGATGAGGTATTTTGCTTACTTGTGGACTAAAAGTCATAATGCCTACTTGCAATGCATATATTTATATTTCATAAAACAAATATTTCATGTAATGCTGCTCATGCATACATGCACTGCACTTGGTTAAGTCACAATGGACCTGATAATAAGCTTTATCTGACTTAATCTGCCTGGAGTGCACATTCACTAATGCCCTCGCAAACATGAATTATTTGTATAACAAAGTGACTAAATGTATCTTACCTGCCCTTCTCTCTCTACGAAGCATAGTAATCTGATCTGAACCGGAGCTGGTCCTGTATGAGCGCAGGGGGGTGTGATGGTAGCTGTCTCACCTTCACCGTCGCTTCGTTCCATCTCAAAGTTATGAGGCTGAATCTGGATTAACTTATTGACCGCTACCGACCCAGCCATCAGGTTGCACATCTCCTATAATAACAAAGAAGAAAAATGAAATACAATCATTAGACACTCAGTCAAACCATCAAATTCTTTATCTACTCCTTTGTTTTGGTGCTATAATAATTTAAATCATTGAACTGGTCCATTGTGTTTGTTTTTTTCTCTTTTTCTTTTGTTCGAAAATGTTGTAACTGAATTCATTTTGTTTCGATTTGGTTTATTTACATTCTGTATGTTTGTAAATTTTGTATTTTTGTTGTAGAGCCTCCACGGAAAACAGTATTTAACTATTGATGGAGCCACCCTACTAAAAAAAAGACTAATATATAATAAATAAATAAAACCTGCTTTAGTGACCACCTGTATAGAAAGACCACATTTCTTTTGTTTCCCTTGAAGAAAATGGTTTCTCATTGAGACATGTACTACTGAAAGGAACCTGTACATGAAGACCACCTGCCTTTAAAGACCACTTTTCTTGTCTCCCTTGGGTGGTCTTTATAGACAGGTTTTGCTGTATATTCATCACCTTTAGAGCAATTTGTCCGTTGAGAGACAGAAGGGTTGAATTTGAATGCAATCATGGTTTGCTGAGAATAAGAATGGTGTGAACTCATATTATAAAAATGGATGAACACAGAGAGAAGTAAGAGAGAGAGAGAGATAAAGAAAGAGAAAGAGACAGAAAGAGACAGAAAGGGAGAGATTAAGAGAGAGGGAGAAAGAGAGAAAGAGAGAGAGAGAGGGGGGAGGAAGGATGAGAGGGGAGAACAAGGGAAAGAGAAGAGAAAGGATTTACAGTGAGAGAAGGGAGGAAAGGAGATGGCGGGAGATAGGGGAGATGGAAGGAGAATGAGGCTAGAAGAAGGCTAGTTTAGCATAAAAAGATGAAGATAGAGATGGACATAATAAAGAGTAAGAGGGAGAGAGAGAGAGAGAGAGGGGGGTGATAGAGAGAAACTGAGAGAGGAAAGAGAAACAGATATTACGGGATTAAAAAGACACGCACACTGACTTTTCTTCTCTCTTGAATTGATGAGTAGATTGTTAGTACCGGTGGACATTATTATGAAGCTAGATGCCACTCCATAGAGTTCATACTGACTGACCGCCTCATCATACCATGTCATGGTTGAGATGATACATTCATCCCAGTGTTCCTATCACATCACTTTCCCCCTGTCCACACACAACATTTTCCGTGATTAGGCCGGACTAGAATACCGTTTCGCAATAGTTTTACGATGAAATGGTGTGTGTGAACGCTCACTAACGATACGTCGTATAACAAAACGTAGTCTAACGAAACGCAGTTTTGGGCATCGTTTCAAACTAGAACTCAATAAAGAATCTCGCCTAATCACGCCTAATCACAGAAGATGTTGTATGTGGACGTAACTAGTGTAACTAGTGTAACTAACTGGGCGGGGCTGAACGTGACCTCGTGCAAAAGGAGACCTGACCTCTCATTTCCGCTTCCATTCCATGACCGCAGTAGCAAACTGCGCACCTACATGTATACGACATTTCGCTGTAGATTTTCAGGATTACTTTCTTCTGTGTGTGGACATCCTGGAATTTATACGATGATTATTTATACGACGTTTCTTGTGTGTGGACACTCTGAAATTTATACGATGATTCTTTATACGACATTTCGTTATAGAGTTTCGGGATAAATTGTTTTGTGTGTGGACACGCTGTATGAGTGTCAATGATTAAAACCATCAAACCATGCACTAATCCACTTAGGTTTTACATCACCACTCGCAAGACCTGTCCACATCAGGCCACATAAGGCCTGCCTCATCAGCTCCAGTTTGCCAAATAACCTGCTGTTTTCAGACTCGGGATATTGCGTCTCCACCCGACGGATACGCTCATCAGTATAATAAAAGCTTGCTGGAAATCATTCATCTTCAACAAAAAAACAACAACAGAACTCTCATGTGCACATAGCGTCAGGCCTTCTCACCTTGATCTCCTTATCTGTCTATGCTCATTACTCAGCCCCTGTACACTTTCCACCAAAATCCTTTGGTCCATGTCATTTATTTGTAATCTTGAACATTCATTATGAGTTTTGTTAGATGATGTGAGAATCTATTTTCTATCAATACCAGAACTTAAGCTTTTGAAGGTAAAGTCCAGTTTTGGAAACACCCCCTTCTCAAAAAATGAAATGGAAGCTCTTATCGCCAATAATGTGAAAAAATATGTTTTGACTACTATGTGATGATACAAATTTTGCCGGGAAACTGCCTACTAATTGATATATTTGGTAAATTATCATATCTATCCAGCCTTCTATCTGGTCTGGATGGATATAGCGTAGTCCCATTTACATCTTTCTGTGTACAGTGCTTGTAACTTTACCAAGACTGGGCCAAATTTCTTATCATTTTGATGATTCCAGAACCTTGCAGTACACAATATGCTAAATGATCAACCTTTTCTGATCTATTCTGATCAGATTCAGATTCACAATGCAATCGCATGACCAGAACTGGTCTATACCTTTAAGCTTACCGTATCTTTAAAACGAGAAGGTTTACAAATAGTCTGCTCCTACTCTTCAAATATGCTTCTACTCTCTTACTACTCACAATCCTCAGGGTACAATGTAGATCTAAGTCAAGATGAATGAACCTGATGGATTTCAGCATGTTTATTTGTATAGAACTCTCAGCCATTTCCGCTGTGCAACCTGAATTTTTGGCGAACTGCACAAATTAAATGTTTGTAATACAATCCTTAGATGAATTCAGACCACTCATGCATCAAATAACAGAAGGTTTTAATGCATGTAAAGTATCTCGTTTGTGAGCTTCAAAGAATTAATAAAGCAGCACTGGAAGCATAAAGACAGGATTGCAACAGGATAATACCAATATTTGAAACTCTTTTCGTTTAAAGGTAAAGACCAATTTTGGAAACGCCCCCCTCTCAAAAAATGAAATGGAAGCTCTTATTACCAATCATGTGAAAGAAAATGTTTTGACTAATACGTGATCATACAAATTTTGCTGAGAAACCACCTACTAATTGATATATTTGGTAAATTATTATATCTATTTGGACCTGATAGATATAATGCATGTGTCGCGCAAGTGCGGGGGTAGTCCCATATACATCTTTCTGTGTACAGTGCTTGTAACTTTATCAAGACTGGGCCAAATTTTCTTATCATTTTGATGATTCCAGAATCTTGCAGTACACACCAATACTTATATGCTAGATGATCAACCTTTTCTGATCGATTCCACAACGTTTCTTTCATAATGCAATTGCATGACCAGAACTGGTACTGGTCTTTATCTATAATTGTACTTTAAGTGATACATGTACTTTCTCTTTGCTTTCTCACCTTTAACATTAGTCAACATCGGTGCTCCCATTGAATTTCAACTAGCACCTACGGCCATACAATGGTAGCTGCGACCACAAAAATCTCGGAATATGCAGCTCTGATAGATAATTTCCAAACGGGAATAGAAAATCAGTTGATTTTAGTCAAGAGACATCGTTTTAAAGCTAAAGTAATATCAATCTTGAGAGGGAGCTATACAACATAAAGAGTTTATTATTTACACTTTCATCACTTTAGACTCGAATTTAACCGCGACAACGATCATTGAATATTGTAGGATCGCATATGCTTCCAATATGTTCATTTGGACCACATTCATGACCCCATACCAAAACTTTGTAGTTCCTTTAATGCAATTGTGCGTATCCATGTTTGAAGTCATACCAGAACCCTTCCGCCAGCCGTATGACGAAATGTACTTTTACTTGATAACATTTTAGCACTGCAACTAAAGCAAGACGATAACTACTATGTCCAATACACTTAAAACATGTCAGGATTATTCATCTACCGGTAGTCTAACCATTATACTAACAATGTTACATGTATAAGCACTCTCATGAGACCAACAACTTTTCAAATTGGCTGTGATGCAAATCTTGTTCATGTAAGTGCAAATCTATCTCCAGAGATGTATTATGCACCATGGAAAATATGCACATCCTTAATTGAACAACCACAGACTATAATACTGCACTCCCGTTACCATGGTTATACCTCTTATCCAATCCTTCTCATTGGAATTAAAAACATTAATTCAGGTAATACGCAACTGTACTATCCTATGTTGTCCAAAATAAGAATCACTTACTGGGAAATGTTGTGTTTGTTCATGCAACTAGTAAAGCCCAAATAACAAATATTTTTCAGTTTCTCATCCCCTCCTACTGCCCCCTTTTTTTGGCGGGGCCTCAAGTTTTTGTATTAGAATTTTTTTCTTTCTAAAATTGAATATATATTAGTCTGAGTACTTTTACACGGTAGGAACGATGGGGTCAACAAAACTCATTAATATAATGCAATTCATTCCTGTTTTAGCCTTTGTAGTACATGTCTAGATGTAAATAAAATAGCCAAAATAACATTTTTATGGACAGAAAAAACAAATAACATAGAACCCCTCCTCATTTTTGAAATTTTGAAGAAACTAGGAATCAATTTCATTTGGTGTAATTTGATATTATTTGAAATTCCACATACATGTACTTCTGTCTTCTGAAGTTTAGAATACAGAGGTATCTTCACAATGTGGTACAGGTCAGAATTGTGCAGGCTAAAACACACTGCATAACGACTATTAGTATCTAGTGCTATAAAAAGGAAGTCCATGTATTTTAGTTGTTCAACTTCTTGCCCACTACCTTTTGAATTGATTTCTAACCAAACATTTTCAAAATGAAATGTTCCGATTACAATAATCTAAAATTAAGAAATATATAAATTATATGAATATAAAAGGAATATTTTTAAATGCTTATTCAAAGAGGGAAGACTTTTTCTGCTGTCTTAATTCAGAGAGCACAATGTCTGATGCAAACAGGGCTCTGTAATATGATCTGAGATATGATCTGAGATATGATCTGAGATATGATCTGAGATATGATCTGAGATATGATCTGAGATATGATCTGAGATATGATCTGAGATATGATCTGAG